AGGGGCTGAGAGAGCTCTCTCAAGAACTGTCCCTGAGAGAACAGCTCTGAAAGAACTTATGACTGACCCAAGGTCACACCAGCAGCTGCATGTGGAGGTGTGGGGAATCAAGCCCGGTTCTCCCAGATTAAGAGTCTGCGCGCCTAACCACTACACCAAACTGGAGGGCGGGGCTTGGAGTCCACCCTCCAAATCAGCCATTTTCTCCAGGCGAACCCTACTCTCTGCCAATGCTGGGCTGAATATGTATAGGAAGACACAACCCTGCCTCCTGCTGTCTGTGTGTTCCCCTGTCCACAAAATGCATTTCATGTACCAGCCTAGGGAGTGTGGAGAATTCACAAGAGTGCTGGGGAAATCCACTGAGGCAGCAACTCATAACAATGTGATGATTTGGACTTGGCTGCTGACTGCCAAATAGAACCTTATGAGGAAACGCAATACCCTCTGCTATCAGTTCCGGAAGATTCTAAACCAGACTCGATTCCAATGGAATTTCTTCTAAGGCCAGCCAATCCTGACTTGAGCTCCCACCACTCCAGGAATTGCACACGATGACCTTTGGCAAGAGGCAGAGTGTAGAAAATGTGATGGATGATGTAGCCGTCCAGGTTCCATAGTACAGCCAGAGAGTATGCAAAGCAGCCAGCCATTACTTATTCTTCCTTTCTGACCTCCCACCTAATACCGGTAAAACTATCGATGATGGAAAATGTTTTAAGCACTGATCTGGGCTCATGAGTCTATTACTGTGGTGGGTTTTTTTTTGTTTTTTTTTTAATTCTCTTTGCTTGAAACCCGGAGCTGATAAAAGAAAACAACAAGCACGGCCAAGAGTCCAGGAATGCTTAACAGCTCTATTAAATCCAGATGCACCGAGCTGCTACACATCACCCGGTGAGACTCTCCAGCCTCTCTTTGCCAAGGTTTCACAACTATTTCAGCAAGGGCAGAATGGACAAATAAATCCCCATATAATGAAGCAATGAGCTCTGTGACTACCTCTCTGTGACTGGTTTATATTTTGTGCTTTACTGAGCTCTCCAGCAATTTTTCGGCACTGCCAGTCAACATGGCTGCCTTGACGCCAAGGTGCCAAAGTGCGCCCCTGCCATGGGAGCAACGGTCAGCGGCTGCAGTAGCAGCATCAGCACCCACCCAGTTCCTGTGCTGGCCGCAGCTGGCATGGCCCACTACCACCACCACCCCGGCTCTTCCCCCCTTCAAGTCTATGCAAAAGCACAGGTGCAAAGGCCATTGTGTTGACCCCCTTCACCTTCTGAGCTGCCCTGTAGCAGGACAGCATGGATTAGCAGGGAAAATGAGGTGGAAGCCCCTTAAACGGCTAAAGTGGGGGAACGGCGCTGGCACATGGCAACGAGCTGCCCCGCACCATTTTGAAAACGCTTGGCTCTACCCTCCCCCCATAGCGGCAGCAGAGGAGTGTCCACATCCACCTTCTCCTTTGAGCTGGATTGCAATCGTGTTCACTTCTAATCTGTTTTAAAGAGGAGATCTCTAGCAACACCACAAACGGTGCCTGGAATTAGCACGACAGCACGTGGATGCTCCTTTTTTTAATGCATGGGGGTCCTGCCTTCTGTACAGGGGATCCCCCCCCGCATGGAAAGCAGGATACCCCCTCCCCCACCCTGCCATGGAGAGGCATCCACATGTGGTTGTGCTCATTCTGAGCATAATTTGTGGTGCTGCTGGGGCTTTCCCCTTTAAAATGGATTCATGACACAGTCTGTCTCCGGAACAGTCAGTTGCTGTTCTTCAAAGATGGCAGCTGGCAATTAGCCAAGGTCTTACTCAGCACCCTCTCCTTCGCCTCCTGGAGGGCAGGACTCTGGCACCGAAAAGAAACACCCGAGGCCAAGCCACACCTCAAACGGAGGCTGGCTTAGGCATGACCAGTGTTCCCTCAAATTGACACTCCCCCCTCAAAAAAACCCCCACTCAAATATTAAACATCTAGGGCTCTTTTTGTAGAAAAAGCCCAGCAGGAACTCATTAGCATAATAGGCCACACCCAACAGCAGGAACTCATTAGCATATTGGGCCACATCCTGACAGCACAGCTCATTAGCACATTAGGCCGCACCCACATGTTACCAGAAGTGTGGTTATCCAGCCACACACACCTTTTGCTTGTTATTCTGTTTACCTTGTCTGTTGTCAAAACCCAGGGCCTTTTTTTGTAGCAGGAACTCCTTTGCATGTTAGGCCACATACCCCTAATGTAGCCAATCCTAATGAATTTCTGCTGTTGGGTGTGGCCTATTATGCTAATGAGTTCTTGCTGGGCGTGGCCAACTTGGGAGCCAGCCGGAGCTCCGTTCCTGTGCGTTCCTGCCCAAAAATAGCCCTGAACTTTACTTGTGAGTCACATTCTAAATGGAGATTGCGCACAAAGAGGATAGGCTCATCATCATCAGCCACAAGGTTTCTACCCCCCACCCCTTGATCGTTATGTCTGCATCCATCCCTTTCAGGAATGCAGCTTTCATTTTATGCCTGTTGAAAACATTGGGTGGGATTCTACGTGAGCTGTGAATGGAAAGTTTGTGGGATGGATTTCTCCTGTCCCTCTTCATGAAGAACTGCTCTTGAGGATGAGGGGGGAGTGGGCAGAAATGTTCCTCTCCTCTTCCTATCTTCCGTGAGCTTTAGCCACACTGCAGGTCAAGGCTGCATCACCCACTTAATTTATATTAGTTCAAAGGTGGGAGTATCAAGCGTTTGTTGTGAGTTCTGCAGTGGAATTCGCTGCCAGAGGATGTAGTGATGGCCACAGGAGTAAACACCTTTAAAAGGGGATTAGATTCATGGAGAATAGGTTTATCAGTGACTATTAGTCATAGTGTCTGAGTAGAATCTCCATGTTCAGAGGCACTAAACCTCTGATTCCCAGAGGCAGGAGGCAAAATCAGGCGAGGGCCTCGGCCTCTATGCCCTGTTGTTGGCCTTCCAGAGGAACTGAGTGGCCACTGTGTGAGACAGGATCCTGGACTAGAGGGACCACTGGTCTCATCAAGTAGGGCCCTTTTTATGTTCTTACAGTAGGCAGAAGCACCTCTAAGCAATGCATATTAATATTATAAGTTCAACCAAGGAGGCTGGAATGTTAACACTGGAACTTCAGTCCAAAACAATATGAGCATGTTCACTCTACTTTCTATTTATTTCACTGGTTCAAAGTTTCACAATGAATCACCTGATAAACCCAAAGTGGAAAGTTGCCTTCTTTCTTGACTATACGAAAAGCTCACAAGTATGAATCTTCTTCTAGGACTCTTCTGAGTAAACCCGATTTCTTTCCCAGAAGATGACACTCT